GAAAGATTGAAACTCTACTATTATCAGCAATCTCAATACAACCATAGCCAAACCACAAAACAATAGATGATTTCAAAATAAAAAATAAAAAACTTTTTCCAACATATCATAAGTCTGTCTTTCAACTTTGATCTTCAAATTGACACTCCCTCTTTACGAATATTAAAAATAAAAAATAAAAAATAAAAACCATTCATCACAGTTAGAAGAATAAGGATCCCCTAAAATCCACAAGGCAGCATATTGATTAAAATTACGCAACATGTCTCCGGTGCCACCTGGAAAGCAATTAGCTTTGCCTCGACTGCTCCGAACTCTGCAAGTGAAGTGAATTAAATTAGAATTTACAAGATGCAAATAATCAGATTTTTCCTACACTATCAACAATTCGATTCCAATTTCTCTTGTTAATAAATAGCAAAGTTGTATTAAATCATTACAATTTCCATAGATGCATGAAAAAAATTTGCGATTTTTTCTTGTATTCAATCATTATAATTCCATAAATAGTTATGCAGTATATATCCACTTTAATTTGTTAAGCCTTTTTCCATTTTAACATATGTCCTCGTGTTAGCTATGTTTTCGGTGTTTGATAGTAAAGCAAAAAATGGAATGCAACAAAGATGAAGCCACAGGAGCCAAAGATATGGCTGATCAGGTTGGCTTTGGAGGCTCAAAGTCTCTTTCATGGACTTGATGGCTTGAGTCAGTTCACGGAGATCATCAACATACACATTCCTGGTTACAGATGTTGGATTTTTTGGTCCAATATTTATCCACACACCAAAACACTAACACACCTATTTTTGCAGCCCAAGTAAATCTTTGCATTGGCCCATGATACAAGCCCGTGACCCGCTCTCATGACCCATGCCTCATTTCTCTTTCCTTGACCTGCGATAGCCCGACCTGGTTCTAGGATCCGCGTCTTTTTTATTAGACACGATCACAACTGTCCGATCTAGGTTTTGCATCTGAGCCATCCATTATGTTTTGACCTATGTACATATAATGAGAGAAAGAGAGGGCGCCGCTCTCATTCCATATCTCTCAAACTTTCTATCACTAACCTCTCTCTCCATCTCTCTCACCCGGGTCCCTTTCCGGCGACTTTGTCCGGAGTTCCCTCGGCGGTGCCTTTCTCCCATTTTGTGGAGTTTCTTGGTAGGCTACTCCTTTTGTTCCTATTTAGCTTGTTTTGATCTGTGGGGGTTCTTACTTATATGTGTCGTAGGTTGTGGGCCAGTTTTCTTGTGTTCGTTGCGATTTTGGTATATTTTTCTGTTTCGAGTGGTTTTGGGGCTAAGCCTACAAACGAAGCCATATTTCAAGTTTTTATCAAGATCTGTTGGTATTTTGATCAATAATATCATCGATCCTTTTATTTTTACCATAACAACCACAAAATAATTAAATAAGGATCCGGATTATTATGGCATATTGGAGGTTGATCCAGTGGCGGATGAGGATACATTGAAGACACAACCAGAGAATGACCCTCTCCGTTCGCCCACATAAGAAAAAATCAGTAGGGGCAGACGGAGCCTTTCAAATATGGTCACCGGCCTGGAGTGTACTATCCAATAAAGAGAGAAGAAATGCATATAATCTGAAGATAAAGAGACTGCCTCAGAATCAAAGTGGTAGTGCTGCATCAAGTCAGTGCCGCCAATGCCGATTGGCAGCCAGGCAAGACACATTTTGAGTATTTAAATAAATATTTGGAGTAACCTCGGTGCAAGAAGCCTATCCAGGGAATGGAGATTTCTGCTCCAAATTTAAAAGCTCCCGGCTCACACTATTGGAGCGTCTTCCATAAAACTGAGGATCTATCAACATTCTTGAGTCGTTTAAGAAGTGTAGGACAATGTGATAAATAAATAGGATTATCGCAATAGGACTTTGTTTATTAATTAGCTAAAGATTAAGTTAGTTAAAAATGTGGGAATCATCACATTTTTATAACTACTGCGACTATAGCTCTTATATCGACTTTGTTTGCCCTAGTAAATAGGTGTAAAATATGCGTGTATTTTGGATATATAATACAATTTCAAATTTCAGTTTCAATTTTTGTACTAGCACGACTTCTTCTTCTGTTTTTTTGTTTTTTTATCCCACACGCCACTTAGAGCTCAAGTGAGTACTCCGGTGGCTTGTACCACTTGTGATAAAAGTGTTGTGCCCAGCTCCCCAGCTAAGCAATTAAAATAACTGAATCCCTACCTATTCCAAACAAAATAAATAAATAAATAAATAAATTCTACTTAATTCAACCAATTTAAAACAAATTACAATCCATCAATTTCAAATAAATTATATTTTGTGTATGTTTACTTATTAAATATTAATTATTACCATTAGAAAAATATATTGTAATTAATCGCGATTTAAAAAAAAATTATTAAAAAATGCAAAAAAATGTAGTAATGCAGTAGAAAAACGTAAAGTGCAAATAGAAGAAGAATAATGCGTAAAAAAACTAGAAGAACTTTGTTTGAATGTATATTATTGATGCTTTCTTGGATGAACTTTTCATTCTTTCCAAAATTCTCTCCACAAAAGTCTCACATTTCATCTCTACGTGGATTTTCCTCTTAAATATCTACTCATTCCTTTATTTTCTCCCCAAAAATTTCATCTTCCACTTCTACAAAATATCTCAACTCATTACTCCTCCACTTTCTTTATCCATGTGGAATCCCTTTGGATTAATTATATCTTCCAATTTATAGCCCTTAAATTTAGTACTTTGTCTGCTTAATTCCACATCTCAAGATATGGGGTGACATTATGCCTACAATTCCTCCTTTCAATAACTAATTTTTCGATGAAGTTTGACTTCATATTAACTCGAGTTCGGTGGGAGCCGCATGGAGTTGGGAAGGACCATGCTTCTTGGACTGGATCTGTTTTCTCTTGATTGCATTGGACCAAATTTATATGGGGTGTTTTTGTAGGGATATAAATGCCCCCAACAAAAATATTTGGGCAAAGTTTATCCTGCAACTCGAATATTTTTGTTTTCAAAACCCCAATAAATAGTTCGGCATCCGCTCAAATGGATGCCCACTGAAGCACCTGCTTTTGGATCCTTGCGCCATTTTAAGGCCAATTTTTTCCTTCAACTTGAACCCACCCATAGTACCTTTGATCCTTTTCTAGGCGCCAATCAACCGACGGCTGAAGAATGCACTATAGTTCCAATCTTTGCAAGCAAAATGAATCTCATAATCAAACACAAAATGCTTTTATTTAGAAGCCTAATCTGCGATCTAGGTTTATACGTTGGATCTTCTTTGTATAACTTTCGAGCCTTTGCAGCTCTGTTATCCTCCTTCTCCTCACGCAAGATAACTTTATGTTGTTTTCGAAAATCCATCTCAAGTTACATACTTTTTGTAGCGTTCTTTCCTTTTCCTTTCTTGACTCAGGTAAGTGACAGCTTGTAACAACTGCACGCGAGCTGCAAAAATTGAACTTAGAAAACATGGCACACACCCGATGAAAATTTTTGCATAGTTATTGGTTCGGGCTCCCTTTCTATGTGGATAATAACTCATAATTTTACTGGAAAGCCCATCTTGACTGGGGTGGTGGTGGTTAAGTTTGTGGTAAGCTGAAGCCGGTAAAAATTGCCAGCCAGCTGGGAAAATGTAAACATCCCAAAACAAGGCCCCACCCGAACATATTTTTGTATAATTGTTGGGTTGAGCTCCCTTTCCATATGGATAAAAATGCATAAATTTATGACAAGGCCAGCATGCTCATCAATTTGAAGCCATGAGGTCTGCTGTTCGAGATATACTAGACCAGGTCTTTTTGCTTATCCTTTTTTTAGGGGGACGGGGGAATTTTATATTTCTGTTTTTCAATTGCTGCTTGCTTTGGTCATAAATTGTCTGTTGGAGTATTATTATAAGATTTCTTGAAGGTCTTCTGTACATTGTTTGAACGTGGAGGAGCTGTTCTCTTTGGTTTGGACCACCCAAGTTTTATCATTGATTTAAAGGATTCTTGATCATAAGACCATTGTCTCTTGCATTATTAGTGCTCTTTGCAGAATCTTGCAAAACAGGGTTGCGAAATCCTATAAGAGTTTAATTAGAGCTTGGTTTAGATTATTGGTGTATTGACTTGCTTGAATGATCGAGGAGAATACAAAGAAGCTATTTATCTTAATGGAAGTAATTGTCATTTATGGAAAGGATAGTTTAAAGTTCTACCATCTGGGATAAGTATGCATTTCTTGAATTTACTGGGAATTAACTTATCTTTCCATGATTGCCTATAGTAGTTCATTAGCAAACAGAAGTCTTATATATCAACTTGCACACGTTACTCTCCCTATGAAATTTACACATATATCACATATACTTTCGTCCCCAGAGATCATCCATTACCATTTATGCATGCTTACAAACTTATCACTCTCAATAAAAATTAATCGACTTCACCCATAAACACCTACGCGAGATTGTGAACATTCATTCAAAATTCTCACCTCCATCACCATGCGAACCCATTATGCACTTCAATCGCCACTCACCTTACTTCATCTATACTCTACTTTCCACACTTAAAATTCTTTAGTATACTTTTACCTTTAAATTCAATAAAGTTTCAATAATCTACTTCATAAACTCAAATGCACTTTTATTAAAGTTTTCCCTTGACATGTCTCTTCAATTTATAGCTTATTGGAAGCATGAAAGCCTCTGCTTGGTTTGTACTTTTTTTTTTATTTTTTCGGGCTATTTGTGCTGAGTCAATTCCTCCGCCCTTTTCATTTTTGTCTATTTTTGGGTGACATGATTTGTTGTTTATTTTAAATGATCCAACAAGCATAGTATGATTACTTTGATATGTTTATTTTATTGATCAATCCATATATATATATATAATACAATACACTTCCTATTAAGAGAAGATACACACACAATCATACGCATTTAATTTGATACACTAAGATTATGAGAATCATTGCTATTACATAGGCATTGGACAACTTCTTCTGAGAACTTTTTGACTTCTTGGCAGCAGGAGCCCATAATATCCTCCTACAGGCAGAGTATATATTCTTGCAAGCATTCCACCTTCTGCACCGTCCCACGTAGAAAGCAGAGTGGGACAATTGTAAGAACAAGTAAACCCAATGATGTCCAAGAAGGAATTCAATAGGTTATAATATCCTAATTTCTTTTACTATGAAAACCGATGAACAGATATGAACGTGGAGCTGGTATGGGGGTCTTCTTTGAGTGTGCTATTTTGTTTATACTTCTGTGATACTGCACTTCTGCACTCCAAGTTGAATTGGGTAGGTTTTTCTTTTTTGTTGTGTAAGTTTGGAGGGTTAGGAGGATGAATGCATTTTGTGTTAGTAATTTGGCAGCAGTAATTAGGGGCTGGTTGCAGAAGGTAAATAAATTAATGTATAAACAAAAATGCTTAGTTGTTTCTTTTTATCAAGGCAATTTGTATTAATTTGTTAAATGTAACTAAATATATTTTTTTATTTATGATAGTGATAGAAACTGAGATGTTATTTAAAAAGAATTGCAAAAATAGTTAGGATGAAAAAAATTGAAAACATAGTGTCAATTTGTGGAAAATGAGTGTGGAGAAAACCATAGTTTGGCCTACAAAACATATCAATAGTTCAAATCCAGATTCACATAAATGCAACTAAAATGAGTTAAGGACGAAGATTCAATTCAAGAAGCATTGAGAAAATCAAGCTCGAAAAATTCATAGAACTAAGCACAAACATAAACAAATTTTGTGAAAAAGTAATGCCATCGGAGCCAACAACCCAGCTGGATGGCTTCATGCTCTCAAGTCAACCAATTAAAATAGGTCACTTCTCAACTCAGCTGGAGTGATTGCAGGATGACTCTAGCGAATTATCGGCAGTGCCGAGCAAACTTCCCCATTTTATTAAGAGAAGATGATATGGGAAGGGCTACATTGTATTTGTAACATGATCACCAATTCACTATTCATTATTGTCAATAGCTATATTATACACTTTAAACAAATTATTATATAAGAACTTTCATTTATTTTTATTTATTAAATTAATTATTCATAATTACTATATTACCCAACTCGTTGCTTTATATGTTTTCTATAGTCTTTTGTTGACATGAAATTGATACAATACCCAATTAGGATAGAGATCCATCACCACCTTTTCATTGCATTTATTAATGTGCAGTAGGATGAGAGAGAAATAAAATGACCAACTCGTACCAGTTTATCTTCCAGAAACCCCAATATCATTGAGAGTGAGAGCTGCACTCCAATTAATATGGGTTCGGCGTTGAAGCTTTTCCCTTAACTTTCTTCTTCAAAATCTTCACAACAGTTCTGGGAAGCTTCAAATTTCCGTCGGCAGAAAACTTCCGAAGAGGTGAATGCATCATGTTGCATTGTTCACCACAGAACCATTCATCCTCGGGCAATGACTGCAGTTTGTATGAAACCATTAAAAAGAATCAGTAAGTTGCTAGTAAACTAAAAACAATCAGTTTTAACGAAGCAAACCTTTAAATCATCCATCCTTTTCTCTGTCAAACATCCGACCTGAAATTCTCTTTCAAACTGCAAAAAAACAAAGCCATTGTCATCATGCTAGTGCAATGTTTGGATTTTAAAAATAAATTGAAAATAGAATGAATCGATTCGCATCAATTTTATAGTATCAAGAACTTATATTTATAAAGAATATTATAAAAAATTAAGCTTCATGTAGGTTGTAAGTTTTTGGATACTATGAATAACACTTGAAAGAAAAGAACCAAATACAGATTTTATTTTGTAGAAAATCTTAATACACAAAACAGTAAACAAACACAGACAAAAAATTCTGACTTGTGGCTCAAATTTATATCGCTAACCCTTATTAACAAAAGGAGGCAAAAACAGGGACCATCGAACTCGGTCCAAAGGCACCAAAGACCCTCTATCCTATCCAAAAAACCCTGATCCCTAGTGAAACAACTCAAAAATAGAGAAAATCACACCTAACAAACTCACTAATCTCTCCACAAATATCCACTGAATAATTGCCTCTCGAAAATTTTAAGCAAACGGAGAAGAGAGAACTCTATTGAGAGAGAGATTACAAGTGGCTGCGCAAATCTCGGAACGATGGGCAACCCTAATATAATATATATGAATGAATAGACAACTAGAATTACAACCCTAGAATGAACGCATCAGATAGCAGGGGAAAATTGGGTCACGGGTCGGGGTATGCACCAGATATGGGTCAGGGTCGGCCAAAATTCAACAATGGTTTATAAAATAAAAAATAAAATTATATACATGATAATTCTCATCGATAAAAATGAATTGAATTAAATTTGATTGAGTAACTATGACATAAGAGTGCATAAAAAAGCTATCATTATTTTTTTAAATAAAAAAATTATACAATCCACTGTATATTAATAGATTCCAAATATTAAGCTTTCATTTAATTTTTAAAGACATTAAAGAGGTGTTTGAGAAATAACCTTTTTTAGAGTCTTATTTATTGAACATTAAAAAACTAATTTTAGTGTTTGGTAAATTAGCTTGTTGAAATAGCTTATTGATCCCAAAAAATTAATTTTTGAAATTCGTTTCAAAATAGTTGTTTCAATTTTATTTTATTTTGTTTTTTATTTGACCTTCAAATAAATCATTCATTTTACGCATAGTAATATATTAATCATTGTAGTATTTATTAATTTTGTTGATATATATTTTTAGTTAACTTTTAAATTTTCTTTTATAAATTTAATATAATTGAAATTTTATTATTAATTTATTTATATATACTTATTTATTGTTTGTCACATGAATTTTTTAATTACAGATAAATATAAAAGAATAGATTTATTCAAATTATAAATAATAAAAAATTTAATTAAAAATTAATTCAATAAAAAATATATATAATTTTTTTACAAAATATTTAAAAAATAATAAAAACAAAGATTTTAATAAAATTTTCAATAGGTAATAATAAAAATTCTAAAAAATCCTATATAATGAAGAACATTACTAAATATTTTAATAGTGAAATACAAAATGTCATTAATGATCGTTTTGCCTATAAACAACTAATATCAAACACTTTAATAAAAACCGTTAATCGAATCAGCTAGTCAAATCAAGTAATCGAATTAACTAGGCAAACTAACTAATCAAATCCGCTAATAATTATCAACTATCGGCCAATTGTCAAACGATTTCTGAAATATCAGCACACGTTCCATTAAAGCTAAATAAATCTAAACAAATCAATCTTTATTAAATCTGAAATGAATAAAATCATATATACCTGCTGGCATATCATTATTGTCTGGTCGTTGAAGATATTTGTGGAAAAAGAGTTACCCCTGCAAAAACAAATACATCTGCAAACTTTCTCAGCATTTTGTTTTATTTATTTGCATTTCATTTTAAATGTAAAAAAGTGTTTGAATAACATGTCTTTTCAAATGTACCTGCAGATGAAGCATTTATATATGTCTGTCTTCGTAATGATCATCTCTACTACCACTGCTGCTCGGCGTGTTGGCAGTCACCTAGATTGGAATTAAGATTCACACCAAAAACATGAGGCAAATAGCAAGGAAGAAAAATAGAACAGTAGCAAACTCTATTTTTGTGTTTTCTGGAATGCAGTCTGTTTCCATTGCCTCCTCTTGTGTATGCCAAACCATATTGCACTGTACCTTTCAAGTATTGAAGTTCATTTTCACTGCCTTCAGATGGCTTTTGGACTGCTCATATAGCGACTAGCGACCCCAACAGAGTAAGCAAGGTCTGGTCTTATATAAGTCAAGTATCGAAGACGACCAATGAGTTGGCGATAATTTGTTGCATTTACAGGTGTGCCTTCCTCATCCATCGATAGGCTAAAATTTGCATCCATCCGCCACTTTGTTAGGTTACAGTCCCACATTCCAGCTGCTTGTAGAATCCCATTTGCATACCCGGCTTGACTTATTTCGATGCCATTCTCACTTTGCCCCACTTCTACTCCCAAGTAGTATGTCAACATCCCCAAGTCACTCATATCAAACACCTGCTGCATTTTTCCTTTGAATCGAGTTACTTGGTCTTCATTTGATCCGATGACAATTAAATCATCCACATATACGCCAAATATCAAAATTGTGTTGGAACGATGAAGCTTATACACCGCTTGCTCTTGTGAACACCTTGTAAAGCCCAAATCTTTAAGTATCTTATCAAGACGTATGTTCCATGCTCGTGGCGCTTGGCGTAATCCATAAAGGTCCTTGTATAGTTGGTATACCATATGCTCCTTCCCTTTAGCAACAAAACCATCGGGTTGAGACACGTATTCTTCCTCTTGAAGTTCTCCATTTAAGAATGCCGACTTCACATCAAGATGATGGATCAACCATCCTTTCATTGCAGTTATAGCCAATTGCAGCCTTATAATTTCCAACCGGGTCACCGGTGCAAAAACTTCATCAAAATTGCTCCCTTTCCGTTGAACATATCCATTTGCGACCAATCGAGCTTTGTGTTTGATGATATTTCCGTCAGCATCTTTCTTAGCTTTAAACACCCATTTCAGTCCGATTGGTTTGTCCCCAGGTGGAAGAGTTGTAAGCTTCCAAGTACGATTCTTTTCAATCGAACTTAATTCCGCTTTCATTGCTTCTTGCCACGAAGGAACACCAGCTGCCTCTGTAAATGTTGTAGGTTCATCACCTACAAACATCAATTCATCGGCATGCTCCGTCTCATTGTAGATATCAGTGAGACTTCGAAAACCTTTAATAGGAGTGTGTTCATACATTGAGGGGTCCACATTTTCTACAATATTTTCGCTCGAAGGAGCTGCATTCGGAGCTGCTGCAGAATTTCCATCAGCATGCTCAGCAGGAGGTTCGGGCTGATGGTCTCTGTTGGTGTCGGCTGGTACTTCTTCTTTCGGGATATGATTGAAAGAATCGTTAACCACAATTTATTTGCATCAGCCTCTTCCGTGTGTGATTGGGCCCAACTCAATTTTTTTTTCATCGAAAATGACATCACGAGCAACCAAAACTTTCAGCTCAAGTGGGTTCATCATTCGGTAGGCTTTAGAACCCGATTCAACACCCAAATAAATCATTGGAGTGCTGCGATTGCTCAGCTTCGAGACCTGATCAGCCAGCTTCTTCACATACCCAATGCACCCAAACACCTTTAGGTGCTCAAGTGTCGGTTTAAATCATTTTAGACCTTCCTATGGCGTCATCCCTTTCAATCCTTTAGTCGGAATTCGGTTGAGTATGTAGACAGCATGTCTGACGGCTTCACGCCATATTACATCAGGCACATTCATCGTTCGTGAGAAAGACCTCGTAACTTCAAGAATGCTTCTGTTACGACTCTCCGCCACACCATTTTGTTGAGGGGAGTAAGGGGCTGTAAGTTGCCTCTGAATTCCTTCCTGCTTACAAAACTCATTAAATTTTTTAGAGGTGAATTCCCCCACAATCAGTCCGCAATCCTTTCAACTTCATTGATGTGCCTTTTTCAATTTTAACTTTGAATTTCGCGAAATTGACAAAGGCTTCATCCTTATATTTCAACATAAAAAATCACATGTAACGACTGAAATCATCGACTATTAACATGAAGTAACGATTACCTGACGCGGTTGAGAGAGATATCGGACCACATAGATCTACATGAACCAATTCAAGAGGTTTACTTGCCTGCCATTGAGCTTCTTGGGGAACGGATGTCTTGATTGTTTTGCAAGAATGCATCCCTCACAAACTTGTGTAGAATGTTGTATAATGGGAATGCCACGAACCAATTCATTTCGAACCATCCACTCGATTGTAAAAAAATTCATGTGATCCGATCGAGCCTGCCATATCGATGCTTTGTTATCAAGATTCGCCATTAGACAAACGAGTTAAGTAGTCTCGAGTGCAATCTTATACCATCGATTTCTCGATCGTTCCACCATCATAATTAGGACCAACCTCATCATGAATCTTTAAAAAATCGTTCAGCGTGTTATTTCTAGGAACCAACAGGGATTCTCGATGTATAGGAATAAGGAAATATAAAATTATCCCAAATAGAAGTAAATTTCCTAAGGAAAAATAAATATGGATAAATAAGATTTGCATGTAGAAGACAAATATAGGAACCTAAAATGGGACGGGTACAAAGTAAACTGTGAAATGATGTTCTATCACTGGGTATGTTCTAGGGTCAAAGTTTGAATATTTAATGCAAAGATGACCCATGAAATAGGATTTGGTTACCTTGAATTACTTGGAAGTGCTTGGCTTGGAAGTGATAAATTCGGGGAGAGAATCCATTGGCTTTCAGAGTGGACATAAATGATTTGAATGAAACATGATAGGGAATGGGAGGGTTTTTGAGCTTTCAAACTCCACTGCTAGTTACTTTGTAATATTCGAAGAATGTAGGGACCAGAATTGAATGATTCAGAAGTGGAGTGCCTTATATTTTGCAACCTCGCAAGGGTAGCCTCAGGAAATGTGAAATTCTTATAAGCATAAAAATCAATTGAAGTAATTACAAGGTAAAAAAGCCGACTAAAATGCAAGAAATAAAATGAATGCAATAAACTATTTTAGAAAAATTTTCTAGGTCAAAAGTTCGTGAAACATTTTCACTAGGGTGGTCAAATAACGATGTTGTGAAGGTTACAATATTCTATACGGATCTACTCCTGCTTGTTAGCGGAACAGGAAAAGAAATAAGAACAAAGGAGAATAGTTTATTTCAAATTTTAAACCAACGGTTGCAACTCCTAATAATATGCACATATTATTTATTTAATAACAATAATAATTTGAAGCACTTAATTAACATTCCCCTTGCTTCAAAGCTTGACACTCGAAATAATCATGTTTGGCTTGAGGAAGTGATTTGGTGAAGATATCTGCTACTTGCTCGTTGGTTCCACAAAACGTCACTTCAATTGTTCAATTTGCTACAAGTTGTCGAATGAAGTGATGCTGCACGTCAATATGTTTTGTCCTCCCATGGAAAGCTGGATTTTTTGTGTTAGAAA